AGAGAGCTCGGGACCGGTACCAGGACTCCCCCGGAACCTCGGGCCTCGAGCCTCGGGCCTCGGACGCACGCGGAACGCTGGTAAATCCTGGACCTCGTAAATGCATAAATAAGCCCGGCTAAACGCGTGACACCGGTTGATCTGTCTTCGCGATTCTCGTCCTCCTTCGTAGCCAGTTAATCGTCCTTCGATTCTTTTCCCTGCGAGAACCTCTCGGGCCTGCGCGCAGGCAGCCCGCTGAGCGACGAAACGTTTCGAGGATCTCTGAATGCGCTTACAGCTTTCATATGCAATCGCGACAGGGTAAACCATTCAGATTCCGCCGGCTACATCGACGCCCTACCTACGCGTCGAATTTTATCATCCGCGGCGCACGGAGCCGCGAGGGCTTTATCGAGCCGCGAGACACGCTCGATCGCGTCCGACCGGGTACGCACCGGACGGTTGTAATTCATGTTAACGAGGTCCGTTTCCCCGGGCGGAAGAGAGGAAGCCCGGCTAGCGGGCACGTCTCCGCCGTGTCCCCGTCGACTCGACGCGAGCCGGGTCTCTCTCTCGTTACGGGAGTTCCCGTTCCTGTTTAGGCATTCTCGTTCCGCCGCGGTGTCTCCCCTGTCGCAGCGCGAGGCGACGTTCACCGAGATACGGTCCGTTTGCGTTAGCATCGCCGTAACCCGGCTCCTCGTGGTTCGTTCGAACAGACGCAACAGCCGAGCTGACGAGGTCGACGCGATCGTGCCGCGATCCGCCCGCCCGCGCCCGCTGAAATCTCCTCCCAAGCGACGACCGTGCGACTCGCCCGGGGAATTTTCGAGCGGAGGCAGCTCTCTCGAGCCAGCCTCGACACCGGGATCGTTTCGATCGGCCTCGAAACTGCCCGGGGAAATTGACGCACTGGGAACTCCTCGGCGCGGATCGAATCGCGCGCTACTTCCAACTACTCCGAGGAATGCGCACCGTCACACCGTTCGCTCCGAATCTATTCCATCGGCGGTACAATAAATTCGACGCGAAACGCGTCGGCGGAACCGGCCGCGATCTCCCGGGCAACTTCCGACGCGACGTGTCGACGGACCCGATAGTCGCGCGGATTGGCGAGAATCGGAGAAGAGAAGGCAGCGACCGTTCGGGTGGTCCCGTGCCGATCCTCCGGGCTCTTCACCGACAGCGACACAAACACGCGCTGCCCCGGATGCCGTTCTATCTACCTGTACGCGGTTCTATACACACGTACCGCGTATCTCGCTCTCTCGATCCACGCTCTTTTCATCCCCCTCCTCTGTCTCCTCCACCTCCTGCCGATCCTCCTGCTCCTCCTCCCCCCGTGTCGCCGTTTCTCTCCCTCTGCCTCCGCCGCTGCCGGTTCCTCCCTCGCGCAGACACGCTCCATCGTCCTATCTCGTCCCGTCTCCTTCTGTCTCCCGCCCAAAGACTCGCAGCTCACTTAATGTCAAAAACATTGCGATTTTATCACCCCTTTCAATTAACTTAACAATATGCCAGATACACAACAAGAGATAGCCAATAGTTTCGCAGTGGTAACGGGTCCCGAGGTGGATCTGCAGTGTATGCTCGCGGGCCATCGGCCGGCCAAAGTTTCGTCCGTTCCGCGTCCAAACTTCCACGGCGAACACGGGGAACGCGACGGCACCGGGCGTGCACACGAGGGAACTCGTATATACCCACGTATGTATCAGCCGAGTGACGACGCTCTGCCATTGAGACCAGTCCGCTTTTCGGCGCGCGTAATTCCCGATCGCAATGTCACGGGCATTGCGCTCGCGATTCCCTCGCTTCCCGTACGGCCGACTTGGAATTCCGCGCGTCCATCTCATCGTGTTCCGTCGCCGAACAAGATCGAACCATTTCGAAACGCATACACGCGACTTTCAGGGTAACTTACAGACGTGAGACGTGGAGGTACAGCCTGCTGCTAACTTTCTTAATGTCCGCACTCCTTGCACCGGCAGGCATCATCCGCTGATAAGAAAAATCCGCCTCAAACGATCACATAAATCCTTCTTACCGGGGGGAAATCTGCTCGGCAGTCTCTGTAAGACTGCATCTCTGCCCTCCTGGAAAAGCGATCAAAACAGTCACCGTTACTCGCGCGGTTAACATCGCTGTCTCTCGTTTCTGATCATCTCAATACTTTATAAGACAGTCTATAAATATTGTTCATTTTATATATAGTTATCGAACTCATCGTTCTACGTGTTTTCAACAACCTGGTTTAAATGGATTAAATACAGTCCACACGGATTCAAGTCTCCTTTCGACAATCCTTAATACTTTAACCAGTCTCGAGGAACGGACACGCGCGCACACTTCGATCAAGACTTAGAAGAAGACGGACCTCGAGGTCGCACCTAATCTCGAAACGAACGAATTACGAGCAACCGAACGGTCGATGGCGTAATGGGCCGAGATTGCGGCATAACCGCGTTATAACGCGTTTTACCCCCCGTGGAAACCGAAACGCCTCTCCCGTGTCCCCGGAGTTCGCCTCGTCATTGTCGCTTTTGCGTCGTTCCTTTTTTTATCTCCTCCGGCACATCGTTTCCTCGTCGTTCTGTAGAACGCTAATAGATTCGTGACCGTCTTCGCGATCCGTTCCTCTCAGCCTCTCCGCATTCTTTCCACGTTCGGAGGGAACGCGATAGCAGCTTTCGATTGATTGTCCGGGGGACAAATTACGACGGCGCGGCGGACGTTTAGAGCCGCGATACGCGTCGATAGCGAAACGGCGGGACTACTATCGCAGCCGAGGCGACGCGACGTTAATGCCGCGTGCATCGCGGCGATATTACCCGCGGAGCCGATAACGGTGATACGCGTCCACCGCATAACTGCCTCGTTGCGCGTCAAATAACGCGTTAAACGCCTGAGTAACGGGAATCGCCGCTGCGCGGATATCCTCGGCGACGAAAGAACGTCGCGGCTCGCCG